ATTTATATTTGAATTTATAGACTGAAAAAAGGGAAAAATATCATAACACATACACAAAAATAAAAAATAAAATTCTATATCAATTAACCTGTGACATTCGAAAGAAAAGTTTAATTTCAAATTAGCTTGCCTTTCTTATACTGTATTAATTGCTCAAGTCAGTCCACATTTCATTTGCTCATATTTTTATCACATATCAACCTCTTTCTCTCCCTCCCTCACGGCCTCTCTTCCTCTTTCTTCTATTTTTTCTCCTTTAAAAAAAAATAACTGAGCCATTTGAGATAGTTTTCAAACATCAAGACACATAGCCTCTAAATTCAGCATTCAGAATCTCCTAGAAACAAGAACATTCTCATACATAATTACAGTGTTATTATTGCAACCAAAATTGTAACATTAGTACAAATTTCTCCAATGATAGACTTCTTTATATGAGAGATTTGTTAACATATAGTTTCCCTGCCATACTATTTATTTAAAGTATACAACTAAGTAGATTTTTGTATGTTTACAGAGTTGGGCAACCATCACCATAATCAATGTAAGAACATTTTTTTACTCCCAGAGAAAAACCATGTCCATTAACAATCACTACTCATTTCCCTCTATCAATCACCAATCTATGTCTCTATGGATTTGCCTGTTCTTGAAATGTCATGTAAATAGAATCATATAATAGGTGGGTTTTGTTACTAGCTTTTTTCAATTGGCATAATGTTTTCATTATATGTTGTAATATGTATCATTACTTCATTTATTTTTACTGATGAATAATACTCCATTGTATGGCTACATCAAATTTTATTTTTTATTTTATTTATTTATTTTGAAAAACAATTCTTTATTGTTGAAAGTATTACATATGCCCTCTTTTCCCCCCATTGACCCCTCCAGCCTGCCTCCATCCCCGCCCCAGGCCTTCACCACCCTACTGTTTGTGTCCATGGGTTATGCACATATGCGTATAAGGCCTTTGGTTGATTACTTTCCACCCACCCAACCTCCCCCCCACCCCGGGCCCGTTTCATCCAAGTTTCTGCACTCTGTTTCATGCTTCCATGTCTCTGGATCCATTCCATTCATCAGCTTATTTTGTTACTTAGATTCCACATATGAGTGTGATCATGTGATACTTGTCTTTCTCTGACTGACTTATTTCATTTAGCATGATGCTCTCTAGGTCCTCCATGCAGCCTCAGAGGGTAAGAGATTCTTCTTTTTTACTGCTGCATAGTATTCCAGGGTATAAACGTACCACAGCTTTTTAATCCACTCATCTACTGATGGGCACTTGGGCTGTTTTCAGATCTTAGCTATTGTGAATTGTGCTGCTATGAACATAGGGGCGCATATATTCTTTCTGATTGGTGTTTTGGGTCTCTCAGGATATACTCCTAGAAGTGGAATCACTGGGTCAAATGGCAGATCCATATTTATTTTTTTTGAGGAAACTCCATACTGTTTTCCACAATGGCTGCACCAGTTTGCATTCCCACCAGCAGTGTACCAGGGTTCGCTTTTCTCCACACCCTCTCCAGCACTTGTCATTTGTTGATTTGTTGATGGTAGCGATTCTGACAGTACACCACATTCTATTTAACCAGTCATCAATGAATGTTTATTTGCTCTTTGGGCCTATTCTGATTAGTGCTGCTATGAACATTCATGTACAAATATTTCTTGAGTGCCTCTGTTTTTTTTAGGTGTGTACCTAGGGGTGTAATTGCTGAGCGAAATGGTAATCCTATGTTTACCTTTTTGAGGAATCACTAAACTATATTTTTCACCTTCCCCCCTCTCCCAATAACCATCCCCCCATCCTCTGCCCTCCTTCCGGAACTCGTGAAAAGCTCCAGGCTCCCTCACCTCTGGGCTTTTTCATATACTCTTTCTTCTCTCTGGACACTTTCATTCTTTTTTCCTAGAAGACTCCTTAGATTCCTCTTAAACTTTATTGAGAAAAAAAAGGATGTTTTGCCTTCTACAGCAGGCTTGAGCCCCATGCTCCTCGCCCTCTTTCTGCCACCTTCCTAGTTCCATGTTCTCTGCACGAAATGCCCAGCGAAGCTGCAGAAGCCGGCCCTGCTACAGAGCAGGAGTTGCTGGCCCCAGGCTGAGCCAGGGTCAGGACCAGAATCTGACAGTGAGGAAGCAGCACCAGAGCTGGAGGAACAAGACTCCACACAGGCAACCGCAGCGGGCCCAGCTGCCAGCTGCAGCTGAAATTGACACAGAACCAGTCAGTAAAGCAAAATAGGAGTGAAAAGAGGGCATGGAAGGCTGTGTCCAACTGGGTCTTTGACATTTTATAGGGGTTTTTAGGGTCACTATCCTGAAATTTAAGACTCTTCTCTTTGCCAGCACAAAAGCAGATGTCTACAAGAGCCCAGCTTCAGATACCTACATAGTTTTGGGGGAAGCCAAGATTGAGGCTTTATCTCAGCAAGCACAGTTAGCATCTGCTGAGAAATTCAAAAGTTCAAGGTGAAGCTGTCTCAAACCTTCAAGAAAACACACAGACTCCAACTGTATCAGAGCAGAGTGAAGAGGAAGAGGCTGATGAAACAGGCATGAAAATGAAGGACATAGAATTGGTCAAGGCACAAGCAAATGTGTCAAGAGCAAAGTCAGTCTGAGCCCTGAAGAGCAACAGTAATGATATTATAAATGCTGTTATGAAATTAAAAATGTACAAAAGAGTACTGCAACTTGGTTTGAAATTTGTTCTGTTTATATTATTAATAAAGTTATAGCTTCTTATGGGATAAAAAAATGCCTGACCTGCTGGCTGAGGTTAGGTGTTCTTACTCTTATCACATCCTGCATTTCCCCCCAGACAGCATTTGTGACACTTGGTAGTAGCTTGCCTAGTTGTCATGTGTTCCAGTTAGATTGTAAGCTATCTGAGGGCAGGGACCATATCTACCTAACCACAGTTTTCCCACAGCACATGGTAGTTGCTCATAAAATATTTCTTGAAGGAATGCATTAATGAACTAATGGATTATGTATTTTGGGGGTGAATTGATCAACACATTACTTGCTAACATAGGGCTTGAAGTCCAGGTGAGGAGAGATGATTGGCATATATAGAAGCAATCATTGGACAGCATAAGACAGTGGTGATCCCACTTCTAGGAATATATCCCAAGAAACCAGAAACACCAATCAGAAAGGATATATGCACCCCTATGTTCATAGCAGCACAATTCACCATAGCTAAGATCTGGAAATAGCCTAAGTGCCCATCAGTAGATGAATGGATTAGAAAACTGTGGTACATCTACATGATGGAATACTATGCTGCTGTAAAAAAGAAGGAACTCTTATCATTTGCAACGGCATGGATGGAACTGGAGAGCATTATGCTAAGTGAAATAAGCCAGCCAATGAAGGAAAAATACCACATGATCTCACTCATTCATGGATAATAAAGACCATTATAAACTTTTGAACAATAATAGATACAGAGGCAGAGCCGCCTCAAACAGATTGTCAAACTGCAGCAGGAAGGCCGGGGAGGGTTGGGGGGCAGGAGGGAGGGGGTAAGAGATTAACTGAAGGACTTGTATGCATGCATATAAGCATAACCAATGGACATAAGACACTGGGGGGTAGGGGAGGCCAGGGGATTGTCAAGGGCGGGGGAAAAAAAGGACACATATGTAATACCCTTTGTAATACTTTAAGCAATAAAAAAAAAAAGACAGTGGTGATCAAGTGCAATAGTATTTGGTTCTGATAACTGCACATGGTAGTTGCTCATTAAATATCAAAGGCCAGAGCTGGGCCGGCATGGCTCAGTGGTTGAGCTTCGACCTATGAACCAGGAGGTCACGGTTCAATTCCCAATCAGGGCACATGCCCAGGTTGCTCATTCAATCCCCAGTAGGGGGAATGCAGGAGGCAGCTGATCAATGATTCCCTCTCATCATTGATGTTTCTCTATCTTCCTCTCCCTTCTTCTCTGAAGTCAATAAAAATATATTTATTTAAAAAATATTGAAGGCCAGACACTGCAGAAGATGGGGAAGGGGGATATTAGCATGGGCTGTGATGGTCAGGGAAAGCTTTCCTGTGAAGGTCAGACTTGGGGTGAATCCAGAATTCTGTTTCTGGACACGATTCATTTAGAAACATGCCTGAGGAAGGCAGGGTTGGGGGCAAGCTCCGGGTTTGTACTAATGGGTTTCTTTGGGACCCAGGGATCCCAGGGGGCAGGGAATTGTAGAAGAGAAGAGCCAAAACACAATGGCAGGGACTCCGGCTGGAAATGCAAGACGTGGAAGTAGCAAACAGGAGGCAGGCTCTGAAGCCACGCTCAGACAAGCGAGGTAAGCTGGGAGGGAGTTCAGAAGAGGCAGTTATTCTAAAACCCTCTTTAACAGATATTGGGTTTCCATAATTCTATAGTGCAACTCCGTTAGGATGATTTAGAAGTCCTCATCCTCACTGTTTTCCATTCTCACAGTGATTCCCATCTCCAAATGCAACTGAGTCTCACCCGAGTACTTTATACTTTGTAAATATCAGTCATTCCAAACCCACAATTCTGTGAGGTGTGTAAGATTCTCTGGTAAAGTTGGAAAACGTCAGCAATTTGCCAACATCACAGGCCAGTAAACAATGACACCTGACTCCTCTTGGCTCCTGACTATTTTGCTTGGGGTCGAGGTAAACAGAGACTAAGGGACCACCATCCTGGGAGCCCTTTCCATGAAGCCAGTTTTCCTCACCCTCCATCGAGCTGTTCTAATAATATACATTTCTAGGTAGAGGTTTAACTCATCATAAGTTGAGAGGAGATCCTCACTATGGGGTTCCAGTCTGTTCCTTCAGGGCCAGGAGCTTCTTCCAACCCACAGTGCTCCTTCACACCTTCCCCACTGGCACCAAGTACAGGGCTCATTGAAGGGGAGCGGAGTTGGGCAGGGGTACTTGGGAGAATACTGTAATACAAATTGTTCTTAATTATGAAAAGGTAAACCAGATGCAACATGAAAATGGGAAACCAAAGCATCATTTCAGAATTCCTCCTCCTGGGCCTGCCCATTGAACCAGATCAACGAGACCTGTTCTATGTCCTGTTCCTGGCCATGTATCTTACCACCGTCCTGGGGAACCTCCTCATCATCGTGCTCATTCACCTGGACTCTCACCTCCACACGCCCATGTATTTGTTTCTCAGCAATTTATCTTTCTCTGACCTCGGCTTCTCTTCAGTGACCATTCCCAAATTGTTGCACAACATGCAGAGCCAAGTCCCATCCATCCCCTACGCAGGCTGCCTGACCCAGATGTACTTCTTCCTGCTTTTTGCAGACCTGGAGAGCTTCCTCCTTGTGGCCATGGCCTATGACCGCTATGTGGCCATCTGCTTCCCCCTGCACTACACCACCATCATGAGCCCCAAGCTTTGTTTCTTCCTGGTGGCACTGTCCTGGGTGCTGACAACTTTGATCTCTTTGTTGCACACTTTGCTTATGGCTCGGCTGTCTTTCTGTGGTGACAATGTGATCCCTCACTTTTTCTGTGACATGTCAACTTTACTAAAGTTGGCCTGCTCTGACATTCAGATAAATGAAATGATGATATTTATCTTGGGAGGGCTTGTTATTATTGCTCCATTCCTGTTGATCTTTGCATCCTATGCACGAATTGTGTCATCCATCCTCAAAGTCCCTTCTGCTAGAGGTATGAGGAAGGCTTTCTCCACCTGTGGCTCCCACCTCTCCGTGGTGTCACTGTTCTATGGGACGATCATTGGCCTCTACTTGTGCCCTTCAGCCAGCAATTCTACTGTTAAGGAGACTATCATGGCTGTGATGTACACTGTGGTGACACCCATGCTGAACCCCTTCATCTACAGCCTGAGGAATCAGGACATAAAGGGAGCCTTGCAAAGAATCTTTACTAAGTGGACAATTCAGTTTTCTTTGAGACAGTGACTCTAAAGATTAAAGTATGCTTTCAAACAGGAGGTGTCACAATGATGAGGAGTAGTATTCTAAAGTTCTAGCAGCACTCAAGCGTGGCACCGCTAACGCAACCCCCAGAGCACTTCCAGGGAGGAGTTCCCCCACATGTCACTAGAGGTGGGTCATTGTGCCTCTTGGGTTTATCACTGTGTCTTACTTGTGATGTAGCACAAGGCTTGATGTGTAGCAGATGCTCAGTGATTATTATTCAATCTTGAAGAAATACCACTCAACCTTGGTATTTATTGTACTTAAAAATTGTACAGTGGTTCCTAATTCTCCAATAAATCCAAATGACTCTGCCACTTCAGTACCTTGCTTCTGCCAAACATATCTATTCCATGAAGAATATCTTCCAGCCCTAACCGGTTTGGCTCAGTGGATAGAGCGTCGGCCTGTGGACTCAAGGGTCCCAGGTTCGATTCCGGTCAAGGGCATGTATCTTGGTTGCGGGCACATCCCCAGTAGAGGGTGTGCAGGAGGCAGCTAATCGATGTTTCTCCCTCATCGATGTTTCTAACTCTCTATCCCTCTCTCTTCCTCTCTGTAAAAAATCAATAAAATATATTTTAAAAAAGAGAATATCTTCCAATTTCTTATGTGCATGCTTTTTAGATTTGCAGTCTCCAGGATCATCATTTCTCCTCTTGCTAATCTATTTGGTTCTCAATTTTCTTAATTTACCTAGTTATCGATCACATTCTAAAATTATCTTTTTTCTTTCATTGTACCAATCATTTGCCAGTTAATGACAAATTACTTCTTTTGATAATATATTTTTTGGAAGAGAATTCCTCATTTGAATTAAAATCATATGATATGGGATGGACCATTATGTTTTGTTATGAATTGCTTAAGTTATAGACATTAAATGGTAGCCCCTAAGTTAAAAAAAATAATGACAGAAGGATTAGTATCTCTTTATGACGTCCGGATCGATTATTTTCCCTCTGGAACATGATGCTGAAATTATTTGGTGCCTCCTTTGTTTATTTCCTTTCTTACCAAGTGCTCGCTAATCTCTACAGTGCTTTGTTTAGTACCCTGTGTCAGCTGGATGTAGAATAAATATTTATTGATTTGATTTGAATGCATTTTCAAGTGTTTTGAAATTAATTTATACCTTAAAAAGCTCACCTTTTATAAGGTTTCTTAATAATGACAAAATTGACTTCATTTGTTCTTCAAAAATTATTTCTATTTAAAAAATAATACATTCTCACTGGGAAATATCCAAACAATAAAGAAATAATAATAAGACAGAATGTGAGGATCATTCATGAATTTGAGGACTCTGTTTCCTCTCATGAGGCAGTTAAAAGTTGGGAAATATTTAGTGAACAGACTAACATTGCATATAATAATTAAATAGGGCTAACTTATACATGCTACTTTCTCACTGTTTTCATATAAAATACATTTTGAATTTGTATTCTCATACAAGGTCATGTAACTCTTTTAGAAGCTATGTAGTGTGTTGAGTGGATGCATTAACTATAATTTATTTAAATGATCTGTTCTTGATGCACATTTGGATTGTTTTCAGTTTTTCATCAATGCTTAGATTTTATTTTCTGGTCCATATGTTTTTGGTGGACTTGGGCTGTGTTTCTAGGGACATAATCTTAGAAATGGGTGTACTAGATCAAAGGATATGAACATTCTATAATTGGGTAGAAACTGCCGAATTGCCTCCCTGGAATTCTCCTAAGGTAAACTCCCTCCAAAAGTAAAGGAGAATAGCTGCTTCATTATGATGTTTTCAACACTGGGTACACTTTACTTTCAAAGTATTTATCAACCTGATACCCAAAAAATGAGATTTTACTTTTTAAATGTTTAATATATGTTTTTATTGTATGTTTTTGTTTGTTTTTAAGAAAAAGAAAGGGAGTAGGGAGAGAGAGATAGAAACATTTATGAGAAACATCAGTTGGTTGCCTCCTGCATGCCTCCTACTGGGGATCAAGCCCATAACCCAGGCATGTGCCCTGACCAGGAATCGAACCGGTGACCTCTTGGTTCATAGGTGATGCTCAACCACTGAGCCACATCAGCTGGGTGAGATTTTACTTTTTTCTAAACTGAATTTCTGTATGTGTTAATAAGATCAAACACCTCTTTGTATTGATTAGCCATTTGCCTTTGGTGTGCTATTGTGCATGTTTTTTGCTTTGAGTAGATTTGTTTTTTTGTTTTTTTTAGTCAACAGTGCACTTTATTATACATCTTAGATTTAACATTTCGTATATGGTTTTAAAGCTTCAATCAATATATATATATATATATATATATATATATATATATATATGCAGCAATGGTTCTCAGGCATAAAATTTAGGAGGAGATTGGGGATTTTTCCCCCTAGCATATAGTGAATATTATGAACTATGATAGTAGAATGTTTCCATCTGACTTAGCTGCCTTTCTGATTGAATTTTATTACAGTGGACGGCTTCAGTAGGTATGATGTTGCTACCTGGAAACAATGAAATTTAAAATATTTTCTTGAAGTCTTTAAGATCTAAATGAGTACTTTTCTCTAACAGAACTCTAATGTCATCCAATGAAAATAATATTGTCCATAAAATATCCGGAGCATCAACCTAAGAACCACTGCCCATGGTTATTCAATGTCTTCAGGTCTCACAGGATGAGGTAATGGTATGATGGATTTCTTCCCAGTGTCCCTGGAAAGTGCTCTCCTCATGCCATAAGCATCCTCATCGGGCTCCCCGCTGCTGGCTGAATGGTACTCTATGACCGTCCTGTACACACTGTAGCCCAACTGCTTGTACATGTCAACGGCAACTTGGTTAGATACTCTTACAAAGAGATCAACAACAAAAAAATCCACCTTTTCTTTCTGAAATTTCCTCTAATGACTCCATAAGTTTAGCAGCCAAACCAAGGCGTAGAAATTCTGGGCAACAGACAGAGCTGTGACATGCCCATGCCATTCTTTCCTAGCAACTGAGCCTTCTGCTTTACCCATAACATAGCCCATTAACTCTCCACCAGGTGCCTCTGCAACAATGAAGTACTCTGGCCAATGGGCAAGATACTGTAAATAAAAAGGAATCCCATAAGTTTCTGTAAGTGGATTCAAGTTAATGTTGTTGAAGCGGAACAGGTCAATGCAGGTGAAGGCCTGGAGCGTGGTCATTATGCCGCCGCCACCAAAGCAGGCTCACTGCCCCGCTGGAAGTCCTGAGTAGATTTCTTTTTTCTTATTATGGATAGTCTCACTTCATCTTGTAGGTGACATTTCCCTCAGTTTTCTGTTTATCTTTTGACTTTGGTGGTGGTGTATTTTTTCTATACTGAAGATTGTAAAATTCAAAGTAGATAAGTAAGCTTATTTTTTACTTCAGGATATATCTTTTTTTCTTTGACATGCTTAAAACAGGTTTTTTATCCTGCCGGGGTTCTTGTTCTGGCATTAAGAACGGTTCAGCAGCCCTAACCAGTTTGGCTTAGTATATAGAGCATCGGTCTGCGGACTGAAGGGTCCCAGGTTTGATTCTGGCCAAGGGCATGTATCTTGGTTGCAGGCATATCTCTGGTAGCGGGTGTGTAGGAGGCAGCTGATTGATGTTTCTCTCTCATTCTAACTCTCTATCCCTCTCCCTTCCTCTCTGTAAAAAAACAGTAAAATATATGTTAAAAAAGAAGGCCTCAGCAATCTGGAGAAGGCTGTGTGTAACTTAAAGAGTACAGAGATGAAATATAATTTATTAAGTATTCATATATACTTGAGTCTATTTCTGGACTCTATTATATTGATGTCATCCTATTTATGTACTAGTCTACACTAATAAAAGACAAAGATGCTAACTGACTGTATGTTCACTATGCCCACCAGCCAATCAGAAGAGTATGCAAATTAACCCGACAAAGATGGCTATTAAATTTGCATACTGTAGATGGGGTGGGCAGTGCCAGATGCCGACTACAGGATATGGCTGCATATTAGGGATGGGGAGGCTGGGCGGGCAGCGCCAGAAGCCACCCGTGGGATCCAGGCCACATATCGGGGACCAGAGAGGCAGAGCGGACAGTGCCAGATGCCACCGGGGAGGCGGAGCTGGCGATCGCCTGGACAGAAGCCTAAGGCCTGGGCAGGGGCCAAGCCGGCTATCGCACAGGGCTGGGGGTCCCCTGCCCAGGCCTAATGCCTCAGCCAGAGGCCTGCGGCCTGGGCAGGGGCAGAGCCTGCGATCAGAGCGGGCTGGGCATCTCCTGCCCAGGCCTAATGCCCCAGCCAGAGGCCTGAGGCCTGGGTAGGTGATCAGAGTGAGCTGGAGTTCCCCTGTCCAGGCCTAATGCCCTGGCCAGAGGCCTGAGGCCTGGGCAGGGGCGAAGCCTGCGATCAGAGCGAGCTGCAGGTCCCCTGCCCAGGCCTAAGGCCCTGGCCAGAGGTCTTAGGCCTGGGCAGGCATTGAAACGGACTGGGGGTCCCCTGCCCAGGCCTAACGCCCCTCCTAAGGCCTTAGGCCTGGGCTGGGGCCAAGCCGGGGATCGGTGTGAACTACAGAGGAAACACCTTTTCTGACTGCTCATTGGCTAAGCTCCCTGTATGCCACTGGTAATATTCTTAGTAACTTAGTAAGTAGGGCTTTTCCACCTCACTCCTGGAGAATAAAACGAAGGTCTGCTGCTGGAGGGGCTAAGAAATATCATATTCTGCCCTAGCCGGGTTGGCTCAGTAGATAATGCCTCGGCCTGCCTACCACAGGGTCTGGGTTCAATTCTGACCAAGGGCATGTACCTAGATTTCAGGTTCTTCCCTGGCTGAGGCCCAGGTCAGAGCTCATGCAGGAGGCAACCAATCAAAGTGTTCCTCTCACTTTGATGTTTCTCTCTGTCTTTCCCTCTCTCTTCCACATTCTCTAAAAATCAATGGAAACATTTCCTCAGTTGAGGATAAAAAAATAATAAAGAAAAGTCATATCCTATGAAAGACACAT